CACAGAGTGTATTTTCCCTGCTGCAGGTGGGCCAGTCTGGCTTCTGCCCCAGCAAAGTGATTCTCCAATAAGAAAGTACCATGAAGTCCACCCAGCATCATTTTCTATAAATAACACCTTGTCTGACAGATTGTCCTGGGTACAGTGGAGAAGCAGAGAACTCAGCACTGCTCAGTCCAGCAGGCTGGGTGCCTCAGCAGTGACAATCTGACAGTGAAAGCTGGAGCTACTGACATGGATCCATGATTTTGTCACTAAAGAATACCTGTGGTGGTAGCAGCAGTAATAGACACTTCCTCTTTGTGATGACCTGGGCTGGGTCACCCCACTGATGGAGGGTCTTGCTGTGACTCACTGTTCTCTCTGGAAACACTCCCACAGACTCAGAGCATCTCAACCATTCTCCATATCTGCTAAGACAGTCAGGCCGACAATGGTGACCACTGTCAAAACCCTTGGCAGTTTTTCCTCTGTGTTTTAACTTACAGTGCCTACCATAGTAAACACAGCATAGAGGCAACACTGACATAAACACACACATTGCTCTACAGATACCACTACAGCCTCCCCACCCTGCTCTACTGTACCCTCCTCTCCCAGTAACTCCTGTTTCCTTTTCATATATTCATGTTCTGCTGTCCTTCTTCATCTCTGTCTTATACCCCCTCTCCTGTCTCCTGGACCTTTTATTTCCTGGTTTCTCCCCACACTTGCTTCCCATTAGATAACTATATTTAACTTTTAGAAGCTGTGATCCAGAGTGAGTTCAAGGTTGTTTCAGATGGACGTCTGGGGAGATCTGGGGTTCCTGGGACTCCCTGGCCAAACACCTTAGCCAACTCAGAGAGCTGAGGCCAGTGAAAGACCTGTGTCCTAAAATATGGGGAATGGAACCAGTGGATCCACACTGAGGTTAATATCTGTCCTATAAATACACACACATACATGCAAGCACACACACACACAACACACACACACAGCACAAACAGCTTCACAAACATACAGTTCACACTTAAAAGTGACAACAAATTTAAATTTTTCTACCAAGGATCTGGACTTTTCCTACGTAAAAGTCTCTTGTAAAAGAGGAAAAAAAAAAGATGAGTGCTTTATCTGTGTGTGATTCTCTCTACCATGTGTGTGCAGTGCCCATGGAGTGGGACAGAACACAAACCTCCCTACTGGACTTCATTCATTTTTGGGCATCTTCAAACAGAGGGTGGGGGCACTGACTCATGGAGGAGGCCATCCAGCACAGGCCTGTGTCCTAAAGGGCAGGACATCCTTAGTATTGGGGACAGGAAGTGAAAGTTTCTAACTTGAAGGTTGTGCACTGACAGTTACAGAATGTAAAGTCGGAGGTTTTGAATGACCAACACTGGGGAGCTGTTGAAGCCTCAAAATGACTTTGAAAAGTGAGTGCCATAACTTGGTTAAAATATTTTCAACATAAAATCACTTTGTCTTCCACATATCTACAAATGGTCATTGAGGTGAATGGGGGGTTTGAATGGATTTTTGACATTAAAACACATAGAAAAATAAGAAACTGGGGTAATCCCATTGTTTTGAACATCAGGGAAGTATTAGGTCTACATATGCCTACAACTGAAAAATGAGTTTGGTATTTACATGTTCTGGCATGAGGCAGAGTCAGATAAACAAGAGGTAGAGCGGGAAGAAATTAAATGATGCTGGCCAGAAGCCTAAAGTATTGGCCAATTAACAAGCAAATGATTAGTGGAGGTGGAAGGCAGACAAAGAAGCTTCATTAGCATATTGCTTTTCTGGGGGAAAAACTTTTCTAATATGGGATTCCCCTCTGTATGTTGTGAATATGTTTTATTACCACTGTTTAATAAAGAAGCTGAGCAGACTATAACAAGGCAGGAATTCTAAGCAGAGATAGAGGACAAAAGAAGGTGTAGTTACAGAGATACCATGTAGCTGCTGAAGAAGACAGACAGTGGACAGAAAACCAGTAAACCACAAACCTCATGATAAAATACAAAGTAATAGGAATGGGTTAATTTCAGATGTAAGAGTTAGCTAAAAGTATGCATAAGCTATTAGCCAAGCAGTGTTGTAATAAATATAGTTTCTGTGTGATTATTTTGGGTCTGGGTGGCTAGCAACAAACAAGCAGACTCTACCCACAGTGGTTCAATGTACTGATGACAGCACAAATTTATATGAAGAAGAAAATTGACATCTAGTTCTAATAGCATTTCTGCTTGTCTGTCATGGAGCCCTTCTGGGGTTTTTGGCGGGGGGGGGGGGCAGTTTTCAAAATCCTTATTCATCCAGGTCTTTAATATCTTCAGTATCTCCATTATGTAGGGCTACAACAATTAGAGACAGTTTCCACAGTGACTTCCTGGACAGAGATACAATCCCCATTTCAGTTGGCCTACCCTCACCTGGGTAGGTTTCTATAGAAGGCATACTTTCTAAACAGTTGACTGTAGTAGGCCTCTTCGAATTGGTTGTCCTTCACTGACTCCTTCTAATATAATGGGCCATCATGCATGCTGGATGTACATCTTTCCTATTGCTGAGGACATACCTTTATTGTTCCTGCTACCATAGTTGCATGTAATGTTACTTTTGGGTGTATTTTCATCTCAGGCACCTTGGAGGAAGGAAGGGTGGGCATGACAGCAAACACCTAGTCCCTCAGCTCTTAGGGAGCTGAGTTAAATGACTGCTAAAACACACTAGAAATGGAAATATCACCTAAAATTTTTCTGAAGAACTATAAGATGGATGACATGGATGGAGTTTTAGAATGAGGAATTTGAAATAATTATGATTTTCTTGGGAGCAAGGTCTTAGGTTACCGGAAAACCTTTCTTTCTCTTGTAGTCTGCCTTTGACCATTTCACTTTGTGTTATTCAAGAGTTGGGAAGAAAAAAGGGAGAAGCTGAAATTCCTGCATGCTAATGAAGCTGTCCTTGAAGCAAGTTGAATTCAAGGATTAAAATCAGTCCCCAGGTGGTGGTCTGAGGTAACCAATAGCTCTCACTAACCAGACAGTCCCTGCTGCACACCCTGAACCAGTAACTGTGCACAGGACATGTGAAGCTTACTTTATGAACTCATTTAAACTCTGCAGGGTTAGTTAGCACCTGTGTCCCCAAAGCTCATGCCAAGCCATGTGCATCGATTTCGGAGGTGGAGAGCTGGTCTCTACAGTAACCAAAGAATAGGTGGTGATCTGTTTCTCTAGGGCAATTTCACTGGCCCCAGGAAAAAATTTAAGAGTTTATTTTCTGAAACTAGTTCAAAGAACATTATTTAGGTGAAAAAAATTCAATCAAGAATAATCTTTTTTAGGAGAAGGCTTTTTAAGATGGAATTTCCATCTGTAATTTATTTAAATTCTAGACTCCAGGCAACAACAGCAGAGAAAGCCCCTGTTCCCTCCATTAGATGCAAAGCAAACAGTACAGCTGGGGGCGGAGCTTTCCTTTCCTTCCCCTCTGCTTTCCTTTTCCCTCAGAAAAGTGTCAGACTTGCCTCACCTTCTCTAAAATCACACCTTACTGCTTTATCCTCTTTCCCTTCATAGCAGACTCTCCTGTTGGTATCAACACGTGTATTGCAACCTTAAATGACTTTGTCTGTCCCAGAACCTTGTAGAAAAGGGGAGCCATAAACTCCCCCAAAGCCAGTTTGCAGCCCATTCATAAGCAGAAAACTGTCAATATTGAAATATAATGCTAGCTGGATCCAGATTTGACGCCCTGACAAAGGCAGGGTTTGCTATTTAGGAGAGCTCAGCCCTCTTGCCTGAGTACATTTTGAGGGCTGTCCTGTCTAGGCACTTTACCAGGGATTTCTAAGTTGGGGTAGAACTCCCAGTGTCCCTTAGAACAGAGGCCTAACTCCCTGAAGCTGTCAATAGAAAACCCATTTGAGATGTAGAACGACCGTGCAAGTTTCAGACTTTATTATGCATTTTTTCCAATCTCGACAAGGGCAAATTAAACTCCATACAAGCTTAGAACTCCATTTCTTATTTTTCTTGACTTGTGGCATGTGTCCCTGGGTAGGGCCCACTCTTTAATGACTGAATGCACACATTTGACCAGCACGTGGTGGATTCGCTGTTCTGAGAATTGCCTTAGGAACAAAAGTAAAGTGCAAAAGCAGACAAAGAAATCTATAACCTTCACAGCCTTTCACATTCGTTCTGGCCAATTTTGACCCAGCTAAGAAGCAGCAGAGACAAGGATCAGGAAGGGATGCACCTGAACCAGTGTTTGCAGGTGGCCACCTTGGCCTAGCTGCTCAATTGTTGCTTTCCAGAGGCAAAGGAGCAGCAGCTGTAATGGGGAAAACCCTGTGAGCTTCCCTGGAGGGGGCTGCAGAGGAAGTCGCTATGCCAGTGCCTTTTCCCCTCTGCCCAACCCTGACTCCTGATTCAGGCGTACATTGGCACTGTGCCTGCAGCCCTGGACCATTTGTCAGGATTACTTTTGAGACTGAGGAAAGAAAAAAAAAAAGAAAATTTGGGGGTAACAAGTGGCTGATTGGATCTAATCTCTAATCCGCAGCTCGGGTAGTGACAAAGCCATTTATTGATTTTTTTTTTTTTTTTTTTTACTGAGTGAGGATGAAAGTTCCCAGAACTAGAGAGAGAATGAAGTGCATCCTAGTCTTGAGAAAGCAATCAGGGGATGGGAAGGAGAGAAGGGGTTTCTCCCCAACTTCTTTGCGCCTTTGGGAAAAAGGAGAAAACTTAATCCGCAGGGGGTAAAGTGGGCAAGTAACTCGGAAGCGTCTCGTGGAGAAGTCTGTATGCATCTCAGTCTGAGGTAAGGACTGCGAAAGAGGAAGAAAACAGAGAGAAAAGGGGAAGGAAAAAATAGGGGGGGGGGAGACATGTATTGTTTTCCTCCTTTTGAGCGCACACGGGGAAGGATGTTGAGGGTTATGAGGAAGGGAGTCAGCCTAGGAGGCCTTGTTGGGCATTCGCTGTCGCGCTGGTGGCTGGATGCCATAGGGTCTGCGCCCCGCCCCACCTCTCTGAACTTGTCCCTTTGGTAGATTTTTTTGACGCCAGGCAGTGGGTGGAGGCGGTGGGCCTGAGCATTGCGCCAGGGAAGGTGAGGACGAAAGCTCCGCAGTCTCCTCCGGGGGCGCCCAGCGCGGTCGGAACGAGGTAGGGGGCGCGGGCTTCGGGAAGGGACCGTGGGGATGATCGCGGTGGCGACTCGGTGCAGCGCGGTAGTTGCAGATTGTCCGAGCACGGGCCTGTGGGAGGGGCGCGCGGTGGCGGCACCGCGGTGCCTGCAACTTGCTTAAAGTTTCCCGCGGTGGCCTTGGCCGTCAAGCCAGGTCCGTCTCGCGCTGCTTGCGCCCACCCGTCCGCCCTTCTGCTCTCAGGGGCTGCTCTGGTGTTTGCTCGCGTCCTGGGCCCGTCGGCGGCGATAGAGGCCGTGGCGATGGCGGTGCGGGGAAAGTAGAGGCCAGCGGGGGTGGGGATGGGGAAGCTCAGGAGAAGTGGTGTCCACCGCGCGCCCCGCCAGCCTCTGACAGGAGGAGGTGGCAAACTTGAAAGAGCGGCTTGCCAAGGGGCGATCTGGGG